GGCATAAGCCTCCATATTTAAGCCCCACCAGGAGCACTGGCATGACCCCATAAAAATCCCCAGGTTTGGCAATACCGAATGTTTCTGAGGAAGGCTTATAAAAAAAGAACAAAAAAATCAGCCTGACATGTACAGTAGCACGAGGGGGGAAAAATGTCCTCCTGATCCCATGCAACAACCAGCAGAGCCCAGAAGCATAGGAAATGCCCATAGTAGAACATAGCCATAGATGCTTCTAGACCATCCCTGCCAATGCCTGTCCAAATTCCTAAACCTCTCCAATGATAGAGATTCAACAACTTCCTTAGGCAATTTATTTCACTGCCTCACTGTCCAATAACAGTCAAAACATTTTTCCTGGTATCCCATCTAACCCTACTTTTGCTGCAGAATAGGACATGGACCAATGGCTTCACATTGCAGCAGAGGGAAAAGGCACTTTCTCTCTTCTTTATGGGAGTCCTTCAGGTATCTGAAGACTGTTATCATGAACCCTCTTAAGCACCTTTTCTGCAATCTGAATGTGCCTAACTCCTTCAACTCTCCTAATAAGACTTGCCTTCCAAGTCCTTTAGTTTTCTTGCCTGGTTCTGGACCCTCTCTAACTTCTCTATGTCCTTTTAAAAAATCTGGAGCCCAATACTGCACACAATACTCTAGGTGAGGACTAATCAGGGCTGAGTAGCAAGGGATTATAACCTCCTGCATCTTGCATCTAACGTTTCTATTGATGCATCCTACAGCTTCATCACTGGAGATTCATATTGAGTCTGATCTACCAAGACTCCCAGATCCTTCATCCAGCCAGGTGTCACCCATTTTGTATGTATATTTTTTATTATTCTTCCTGAGGTACAGTACCTTGTATTTGCCAGGACTGACCTTCATCCTGTTAACTCCAGCTCAGCTTTTCAATCTGTTGAGATCCTTCTGAACTGTCCTCCTGTCTTCCAATGTGTTCGCAGTCCTCAGTTTCATATAATCTGCAAACTGGATTAACTTTCTGTCCCAACATCCAAATCGTTAATGTAAGAGGAAGTTTAAGGGGCTTACCCTTCAGTGTCCTACATCAGGCGCTGCCTGAATGCTTGAAGAAGATTGTCCCAGCAGGGACAGCTTACCCAGAACAACCCGCAATTTCGTCCCAGTTGGGATGCTATACTTGTAGTCTGGTATTATCCCCAGCAGGCGGATTCAAGATTCAAAAATCAGTTTGGGAGCCCAGGAAAATTCCAGCCCAGGGACTGGCTGGGTGGCTCCCCTTAAACCCGGGTGTCTCCCCACCCCTGGTGGTGGTGGAAAGAGGTGTGTGCTGAGTGAAGAGGGTTAGAAAAAGTCTGCAGCATGGTCCCACCCTGCGGATGTATGCTGAAGCCTTTGCGAGCAGGCTGGAGGCCAGTGGAGTGCCTGAGGGTCGACCAGGAGAGCGCAGGCCCCTAGAATGAGCCCCTGGAGTTCATGAGCCAGCTTGACAAATTCCTTTGGGTGGGGACATAGCCCTGGGGAGCCCCTAGAGAGCAGGACACCAATTCCCCTCTGGGTTTGGAAACTTGGGGGTTGGAAACCAGTGGGATAAACCCCCTGCGTGAGCAGCCAGTGAAAGGACTGTGATGGAAGTGTCAACTTGGGGAAATATATATGCTGGCCAAGAAAGTTCCCAGGATACCTGCGTGGGCTAAGACGCAGGGGCGCATGACCTGAGGGGAAGTCTCAGTGTGCCTATGTGCCTAAAGTTCCCCCTGCCCTGCCCATGGCAATGAGCTCTTTCGCTGTGTGCTTAATTGTGTAACTAGCTCTGTGGGCTTGGAAAGGCAGTACACAGGCAAAGAAACATGTCTGGAGGTGTGTGGGGAAGTATCTGTGTTTTGCAGGGGTCTGGAGTAAGAACAGCCTCTGCAGACTGTGAGACACCTAGGCCTACGTGGGATAGCCCAAGAGAGCTGGACTCCACTGTGTGCGATGAGAAGAGTGAGACACTGTCCGCCCTCCATCCTTTGGCCATAAGTCAGGGTAAATGGTTATTAGTTGTAAATAATTAGTTAGGGGATTAATATAATGAGAATTTAACATAGTGTATATGTTATTAGCTTTGTATCCATCAACTTGATCATCTCTTAAGTGTAAATAGTTATTCACTGCTATTTTTGTATAAACACACCCTTAGTGTACTGTAAATAGAGTATTTCAAACTTTTGATATAATTTAATATTCACTTGCATATTTTAATTATTCCCTATATATAATTAAATTCTGTAAATAGTTACTCCTGAGTCTGCAAGATCTCTCCATTGTAAAAGGGAGCCCCGCCTCTCAGGGAGCCTCTGGCCACTGCTAGGTGAGCTGAGCAGGAGTAAAGCTATCTGGCACCCCTGGTCCCAAACATCTGGTCCCAAACATCTGGACACAGCCATGGGTAGCACCGTATGCCAAGGTTTACATTCCAAATAATTAATAAACATGTTGAACAGCACTGGGCCAAGGACAGACCCTTGTGAGACTCCACTCAAAACCTCTTGCCATTCTCTTATATCTCTATTTTTAATTACCTTTTTCTTGCAGCTATTGAGCCAGCAGTGTATCCACCTGATGGTAATTTTATCCTGCCCACATTTCTACAATTTGTTTATGAGACAGTCATGTAGGTTGTCAAAACCTTGCTCAAGTGCAGATATGCTATACCCACAACATATTATTTTTAAAATAATTTAGTTTGAACATGTGCATCCAGAATTTTTAAACACACACCAAATATGTCAACATCCAAAATAAAAAAAAAGTTAGAGTTGGCAATACTAAAAAGTATTAGTCAGTAATAGGCTTTCATAGTTTCATAGATTTAGGGTCGGAAGGGAC